CCCCCCCCCCCCCCCCCCCTCATTTACACTCCCGCTGGTTGCAAATACACACGGACACGCACACACACAAATGCAAGCCGCCATGAGAATAAATGTCGCCGTTGAATATTTGATGCAGCACAAATATAAGCAAGCAGCCGCGGGCCAACGCTCGCTCTCTCGCTCCAAGATGACGCCGAGCGCCGCCACCAATTGTTGCTTCATCAAAGATTCAACGATGCGCCGTCGTCAACGAGTGGAGGCGGCGACCGGGAGTGATAGACGAGCAAGAGATGCGGATCCAAATCTGACAGGCGAAACCCAGCGAAGGGCCCAGAGTCTCGCTTCTGCGCTCGAACGACTGCCGCAAACAAGCTTTTGGGAATCGATGATTCTATCGATGACGCGGGTCATCGCCTCCACCCGACCCCGAGCGTCCCGCCCTCCGCGAAGTCCTCCGTAACGTCCGCCGACTCCACCGCTGTCGCGCTCGACGCTCCCTTCCCGAGTCTCGCGATGCATTCAAAGACACTCGGGGAATAGCATTGCTCAGCAAAACCGCGAACGACGAATACGACCCAATTCGCGACGACGCCATCGAAGAGCAAGCCGCGGCTGAAACTCGCGCCTATTCTTTATTTATTTCTCCGTTCCCATTTCCCACAGTAGTCACGTCACTGTACAGTCTCACTCATCACTGCTCAGCGCTTAGCGGTGAGACACAAGCGGCAAGCTACGCTAAGCTAAGTTGGAGCGGCCGAGACAATTTCAAGCCATGTCGCTGTTATGTTATGTTGCAGCAGGAGCCGCCGCCTCGTTGTCACATTCCCAGGTTCAAGTCTCCATGCTAAAAGCATATATTTTTTCTCAACTTGGTCAGTGGAAAGCGACCACCAACTGTAGGATTCATCTGCATGGGCAGATGTTGCTATAAGACAGCATCTGCAGCTACAAATATCCGTGCCGAAACTCCACAGTGGCCAAAAATTGGTGCAAAGTGGGGCCATTTAAAAAAAAAAAAAAAAAATTTATGAACAGTTTCAAGGCCTCAAAGTGTCTTTCCTAACGACTTGTCTCCGATGGTGTCTTTGCTTGAGGTCACATATCTCCTCATAACCCATCCGAACGCAAGTGCTTCCCATTTCTTGTTCTATTGGGAGTCAGAAAGAGTCAGCCCCCCCCCCCTCCACTCCCCAAAGACTGCTGACACGAGATCTGTATCTACTGGAGTCAAAAATGGATTTTCAAGGTGTGCTATAAGAGTACAGAATACAGCTTGAGATCCACAGATAGCAACGAAAAAGACGCCACAGGCCGAAACGGAGGATTTGTGATCTTACGGCGGGCGCCAACATTTTCTCGGTGTCCGCCCGCAGGCTCTTTGAGACTCTGCAGTCGCTCTTTTGGTCGATATTCGGACTGCTGAACCTCTACGTCACCAACGTGAAGGCCCGCCACGAGTTCACCGAGTTCATGGGAGCCACCATGTTCGGGACGTACAACGTCATCTCGCTGGTGGTTCTCCTCAACATGCTCATCGCCATGATGAACAACTCGTACCAGCTCATCGCCGTGAGTCCCGTGCCGATTATTCGTCACCCGGCATTCGAATGCGACGCACATCAGCACGTTGTCTCCTCCCACC